TCCAGTTAAAGTCTAGACAATGAAGCATTGTCTTCCCTAGTCGAAGTTTGTATGACATTCCCCGGTGAAACCTAGAGGATTTTATTGTATCTCCGCAACTTTATTTGTTGTCATTCATGTGGTGCTTTGTTTGTTTCCAATCCATGTTCTTCCCAGTGAAGTTAAGCCGTGAAATAGGACTTTGTTTCCTCAGTTGATGCTTATTCTCATATGGAACCTTCATCCTGGATGTGACTTGGCCAAGTGTTGTCTTCACCCAAAGTTAGATTTGTCTGGTTATTCCCAATGCGTTATGGTTATTTTGTCAGCATAAACACAATAACATTCATACATTCATACACATCATGCATAGATGAATTTAAAATTCATTACTCATTTTCATTCGTTGATGTTTTGTCAGCATATTATCTTCTTTGTAAAGTTATGTTACTCTCTCTCCAATAGAGTTGTCAACTTTAAACAGAAAGTGTATATCCTTTAAACTTTCCCACTGAGTTATCCCTCGTGGAAGAATTTTTTCCTTAGCCTTCCTATTCAATTCATTATCTGGATGGAATGTGATACCCTTTTGAGTTTATTTTTCATCAGGTGCTATATGGGTTGACTGTTTCATTCTGATTTATTTCTGGTTTGAATTTGTGGTCCCCGACACTATTATTATTCTGACTTCTGCAGGCTTTGAGCTTTGATTTGAGAATATGAATTTATCTTGCACGCAAAGACTTTTTTTCTCCTCAACAATAATGCATTAGTATTCCCCTAGGAAATAAAGATTCATTTCTCGCCAGTCTTATTACAATTCCTTCTTAAACAACAAGTGGTTGGTCTCTTTATTTGAGCAACCTGTTCTTCCTAGTAAGTCTGTTAATGACAAAGAAGATGTTAGTCCAATGAATGGTAGTCTTGCCATTATGGGAGATAGTTCGTTGATGAAGTTTTTTATTCTGATGAATGGTAGTCTCATCATTATGGGAGATAGTTCGTCGTTGAAATGTGTTACTCCAATGAATGGTATTCTCGTCATTATGGGAGATAGTTCGTTGTTGAGATTTCTTGTGCTTCAGTGATAAAAACAGTTCATTGAAAGATTCTTACAACAATTTTTACCCTTTCTAGGTGAAATATCTTGGTTAAAGAAGAAACTGAGACCAGTTCATGGCTTATGGTCAGGATCGAGGGGAAGTTTATCTGATTCTCCATCAAATGGCATCTCTTCGAGGAAATTTCGCAAGAGAAGTTTGTTGTGACATCATTGCAAGTGGTAGTCTCTTTATTTGAGATAGCTTGTATTTTTACCCTTTTCAGGTGAAATATCTTGTTTAAAGAAGAAACTGAGACCAATTCGTGGCTTATAGTCAGGATCGAGAGGAAGTTTATCTGATTCTCTATCAAATGGTATCTCTTCGAGGAAATTTCGCAAGAGAAGTTTATTGTGAAATCATTTCAAATGGTAGTCTCTTTATTTGAGATAGCTTGTATTTTTTACCCTTTCCAGGTGAAATATCCTGGTTAAAGAAGAAACTGAGACCAGTTCGTGGCTTATGGTCAAGATCGAGGGGAAGTTTATCTGATTCTCCATCAAATGGTATCTCTTCAAGAAATTTCACAAGAGAAGTTTGTTGTGAAATCATTGCAAGTGGTAGTCTCTTTATTTGAGATAGCTTGTATTTTTTACCCTTTCTAGGTGAAATATCCTGGTTAAAGAAGAAACTGAGACCAGTTCGTGGCTTATGGTCAGGATCGAGGGGAAGTTTATCTGATTCTCCATCAAATGGTATCTCTTCGAGGAAATTTCGCAAGAGAAGTTTATTGTGAAATCATTGCAAGTGGTAGTCTCTTTATTTGAGATATCTTGTATTTTTACCCTTTCCAGGTGAAATATCTTGGTTAAAGAAGAAACTGAGATCAGTTCGTGGCTTATAGTTAGGATCGAGGGGAGGTTTATCTGATTCTCCATCAAATGGTATCTCTTCGAGAAATTTTTGCAAGAGAAGTTTGTTGTGAAATCATTGCAAGTGGTAGTCTTTTTATTTGAGATAGCTTATATGTTACCCTTTCCAGGTGAAAAATCTTGGTTAAAGAAGAAATTGAGACCAGTTCGTGGCTTATAGTCAGGATCGAGGGGAGGTTTATCTGATTCTCCATCAAATGGTATCTCTTCGAGAAAGTTTCACAAGAGAAGTTTGTTGTGAAATCATTGTAAGTGGTAGCCTCTTTATTTGAGATAGCTTGTATGTTACCCTTTCCAGGTGAAACATCTTAATTAAAGAAGAAACTGAGACCAGTTCGTGGCTTATGGTCAGGATTGAGGGGAAGTTTATCTGATTCTCCATCAAATGGTATCTCTTTGAGGAAGTTTCACAAGAGAAGTTTGTTGTGAAATCTTTACAAGTGGTAGTCTCTTTATTTGAGATAGCTTGTATATTACCATTTCCAGGTGAAATATCTTGGTTAAAGAAGAATCTAAGACCAGTTGTGGCTTATGGTCAGGATCGAGGGGAAGTTTATCTGATTCCCCATCAAATGGTATCTCTTCGAAGAAAGTTTACAAGAGAAGTTTGTCGTGAAATCATTGTAAGTGGTAGTCTCTTTATTTGAGATAGCTTGTATTCTTACTCTTTCCAGGTAGAATACCTTGGTAAAAGAATGAGTTGAAACCCGTTCTAGGTAGAATGTTAGAACTTCAAGAAACTCGTTATTGTTAATGCAGATTTCACCTTCAGTAAAATTCAGTGCATATTTTGACATCTCTACCTTCGATAAAAGTTGGTATTTTCTCCATATGTCTACCTTTAGTGAAAGTTGGTATCTCACCTTTAGTAAAAGATTGGTGTATCATTTGTTCTCTCCACCTTCAGTGGAATTTGATACCTCACCTTCAGTAAAAACTGGTGTATTCTCTTTTCTCCGCAGCTTCAGTAAAAGTCAGTAGTTCACCTTTCGTAAACGTTGGTGTTATTTTAATCTATACCTTCAATAAAATTTGGTATTTTCTCTATATATCTACCTTCAGCAAACATTGATGTACCTTCTATTTCTTTGCCTTTAATAAAAGACAATATTATCTTTACCATTTCTATTCGCGCCCTTCTATTTAACAGTTGTTGATCCCCTGTGTTGATGTTACTCTCTTTTTTCTATCTCCTCTATGAGTGGATAGTTCACAGTTATTGGTCAATCATTGTTATCCTCATTTTGTTGATTTGATGTTATTTGGCCTCTTCTCTAGACTTTACCCCAGTAAGGTTGAGTCTTCAATTGCCCCAACGGAGTCGATGTGTCTCCAATGGATTCAAATTTCTATCCCCAGAGACGTGATGTTCCCCAGAGATTTATTTTCCTGGTCGACTTCTTTTTTATTAAGCCGATTGATTTTATTTTCATTTCTTCAGTATGTCTTGCCAATCTGCATGAAGTTTATATTTTACATCCATAAATATAAGCATCAGATGGCATCTTAGGGCAAAAAATAAGGCTTTTTTATATTTAAGTATCTTCAATTACGTCGAGACGAAGATTTTAACCTTCGTATCTCCGGATAGAAGACACTTAAATAAGGGCAACTGTTATACCCAAAATTTTCCCCCTAAGATCCCCCATCACATCATATAAATTTCATGCATATCATCGGTTCCATGGTTACGGGATCAAAGGACTTTTGGCATTAGGGTTTTTCTCTGTGGACTAAGATCGGCACCTTATTCAAAGTTGATTCAACTGGTGCTCTCATCATTCTTAGTATAAAACTAGGGTTTTGGATCCAAAAGCATCATGGATATTTTTCTTGGCAAGATTCCTCAAGATACAAAGTTTTCTACATCAAAATGTTCTTTGAAGAATAAGCGCATTAGGGTTTAACTCAGTCAGAGAATCAGGAGTTCTCTCCATTTTGTTCTTGGTAGTGGTTCTTCCATGGAGGTTTATTGGATTAAAGTCTCACTTCAAGGCTACATTGAGCATTACTCTTTCCCCATTGTGGGTTCATCATCATCAACTGGGGTTTATCCTAATCATTGCACCTCCAGACATTCCTTTCAGGAAGTTCAGAGGATTTAGTCAAGTACTTATTTCTGGTGATGCTATTTGTTAAAGAGTTAAGGATTGGTTGAAGTTTTCATTAAGTCAAGATGTTTCTTGTTTCTTAAGCTACGAATAAGTATCTCATCAATCTTTCAAATAGAATTTGTCTGGCTTCTTGAATTCAAAATTCAATTGAAGACGAGTTTCACTAGTCGAACATGACACAAAAGGTGTATTTAAGAATGCTTCGTGATCAAGGCATGCCTCATGGTTTTGCAAGTATTCATTTAAAATCTTAATGTGTAAAGTGTTGTATGGATTACTCAATTGCAAGTTCAAATGGGTTCAATTTCAACTTTTAAGAACATTGTTCAGCTTTTTCAAAGTCGTGCTCATCATCCATTAGTCAAGTTCAAAAGTGAATTTATTCAATACCATTCATTCATTTCAAGTCCTTTTATTCAAGGTCATCTAAGTATGTTTCAAGACCATTTTTCAAATTCAAGGCATAAGTTCAAACTCAAAGCTCAAGGTTTAATTTCATCATTCAACAATTCCCATTCTTGTTTATCCTTTTGTGTTATATTCATGTCACCAAAGTAGTATGCCAAAGTTTGGTAATTATGTGCTTCAAAGTGAATGTTGCTATAACATGTACACAAATTGTCCAAATTCAACATCATTTATTTAAATTTCATAAGTCCATATACAATGACATTCAAATTGCAAACCAAATTTCATTACCAAACAAAATATCCGTAGCACTATTACTAAATACAATTGTTGCCTTGCCATTACATCAAGAATTAAAAAATAACATGTGAGGGTCAGCTTTAGGCTTGCAATTATCTTTGCACCAATCTTTCAGTTCTGGATTTCTGCAGCTGAATTCATTCTTCTGAGACTAACATTTCCGATCCTTGGCACTGTTTCTGGCATAAAGCTGATCTGAATATGGAAAGGCCGGCACATCGCCATGGATGTATAATAGGCGTACTGTTGGTCGAAAAGGGTTTACACCTGGATATTGGTTTTGGACATCCCATGGAGAAGAAGCCCCTCAAATGAATGTTGATGTTGATATGGACTCAAATACACTTCCATATAGTAGTCAAGAAGATATTAGGTTTGATGATGCTGATCTTAATGACCAAAATTTTGTACAAAATGAAGAGCTGCCTCCAAATTCAGAAGCAACTGAAATGTATGATATGTTGAACTCAACTCATCAACCTGCGGCCCAGATTCGCATTACCCTGCATATATGCGTAAAACCATGTTAATTTCGCTACAAAAAATAGAGAAATGCTTCAAATAGTTTAGGCTGTTAAAACTAAAAGATTCAAAGAAGATGTAGTAACCAAACAAAGCTTCTAATAGCATATCAGTTCTTAATATTAAACTGATTTCTAGTTGAATCTAGTTCGTTGAAACTGATCCTCCAGTCCATAATTATCTTCAGTCCTGCCATATTCATAAACACAAAAAATAGCTCAGTTCAACAGTCCACAAGTTTAATCAGAAAAATAGTTTAACAGCCTGCATCAAATAACCTAACAAAAAATAACCAACAACAACAGATTTCTCTAACCCGTTTCACTCTCATAACAGATTTCAACAAACTCCTTAATAGAAAACAGAAAATAATTCCTAACTTCATTTTCCTAACAACCTAGTACAAACTCCTAACTGATTTCTAACCACCTAATCTCTTCCCTCCATTCCATAACAAACTCTCAAAAACCTAACATCTAGAAGATTCTCACTTGAACCTATATAACAGAACTTTAATAGAATTAAAAAAGGGGAGATGGATTCATAACAGAAAGTGGAGAAAAAAAATCAAAAACGGACCTCTCTGCTGGCTCGGCATTCAACCATTTTTTATTTTCACAATTTTCTGAGATTTTTTTCACTTGATTTTTCATCATCCTCAACTCAAAAACTTTCTTCACTGCCAAAAACATCGATATTTATCTACTCTTTCTCTCTCTCAAACCTCTAAATCTAAATCACCTGAACCTTCCTTCTGCTTACACATTCACCACCACAACTGCCTCATCATCTTCTTCAATCGGAAATCATTTTTGCAGTGCATCTTCATCTTCATCAACATTATGCATCACCACTAACAACCTTCAATCTTCATTGCGACACAGATAGCGCATCAACCAATTTGTGCCTGAAGTTTCAATCTGCAACAGATTAATATACGTGCATTCAACAACATCACTATCACAACAAATTCGCACACAGAAATCCCAAAATCGAGGAAGAAAAGGATAAAATCCAAAATCCGTACTTGAGTTTTGTGCGAAGGATTCACGAGTTCTCGGAGATTTTGTTATCTCTGAAGAGCACTGAACTTCTCAGGAAGGTAATTCCTAAACTTGCGAGGTTTTAGATCATTTCTGTGTACTTGAGTCAATGGTGTAGCTGTTGTTGTTCCTTGAATCGATGGTGAATTGATTTTGAAGGAGGAATAAGAGTTGATTGATCGGGTAATAATGGCGATAAGGTGAGAGGAGATCGAGCACAGAGTTCTCTAGATTCTACAGAATTGCCGCGACATGAACGTCGAAATCAAGAACGTTTGGAAGTGAATATGATGCTTCTGAAGTGGAGAGTGAAGAAGCGAGATGGCGGTGAATGTCGAGAGATAGTGAAGTGTTGAAGAAGAAATCGCTGGAGAAGGAGGTTTAGGCTAGCTGCGGCTGGATTTTGAGAGAGAGAGAGAGAGAGAGAGAGAGAGAGAGAGAGAGAGAGAGAGAGAGAGAGAGAGAGAGAGAGAGAGAGAGAGAGAGAGAGAGAAGAGAAAAATTGGGGAAGGAAGATGAATAGTCGCATTTTGAACCCTAATCTTTTTTAAATTTCGTTTTTATTTATCTTTTTTTTCTTTTAGCAAAGAAATCAAAAATGTATAGAAACATAGATAATGGATCGGACCATGCTTATTGAACTGGGTTGTACATCTTCAAAAATGTATAGAAACATAGATAATGGATCGGACCATGCTTATTGAACTGGGTTGTACGTCTTCTTTAAGCCCAATGTGCACCATTTTTTTGAATCCTGGTATTACACAAAAATCCAGTTATATACTAAATAGTAGATTTGGGCTTAAATACTTTTAGACCCATACACTCACTGATTGCAATTCAGCACCCCCTGATCATTCTAGTTTTCTTATTAAAATATAAGACATTTTTTTTACATATTTTGTGACAAAAATAAATATATTTTTTAGACTTTTTATTTGATTTTTTAGGAAATTAATTCATGATATTTCGATTTCTTGAGACTTGTGATTCACATTTGCTTGTTGAGTTGAGTCTTATACAGGATCATTATTTAATATGCATATGTGTTTGGATTCCGATTGTGATTTATTTTCACATCGATGAAGCTTTGACACCTATTCTGAATATTCGATCTCTGACTGTTTGTTTGTTGATGTCAGCTCATGCGAAGTATTTCGGGTTTTGTTTCTTTGGTTACGCCTTTTGCGGACATTATTGTTCGTTTGGTATTATACTTCTTCCAATCTATTTTTTTGCATTTTATTGCTTTATAGATATCATGAGAAGTATGAAATAAAGAGCGTGCGCTCGAAGTCGCTGTTTAAAGACTTGTAGTAGGCATTCCACACTTCATTTATTATATGTGTCGTGCTTGTGTTTGTTTCCTTTCTTGTTGATTGATGAGTCACTCAATTTAGAAATTGAGATCACGAATTCGCTCTCAGTGCATTCTTCCTATAAGATTTTATTGCTTTCCTTTATTTCTTGTTGATCGATGAGTCACTCAATTTAGAAATTGAGATCACGACTTCACTCTCATTGTATGTTCCCTATAGGGTAGTTTGTTAGACTTTCTTTGGCATGCTAACCTAGGTAGGATCTCTCTAAGTGTACTCTCTTGAGCTTATTGGTTTGTTTGTTTGATCTTTGCATGTTTTAAGATGATAGACCCTTACTATGCTCCTTTAGGAACTCTGATTCATCTATAGATGGTGAGTGAAGATAGACATTAGGACCATTATCCAAGCATATCAACTTAGGGTAGAGGTTTCCCTTTCAAGCTCAACTTTAGGATCAATCATTGTATGATAACATTAGGGATAGAGTTAGGTTAGTCTCCCTTTAGACTTTTCTTTCCCCTTTTGCATAATTGCATTTAAAACTAAAACTTATTTTTCTTGGCAAATGTATAAATAATGCTAAGCATACAAAAATTCTTTTCATGGTAAAAAATACCAACCAATCCATTTCTTTTCTCCATTCGGCTTTTCTCCTCTAAGAGCATGTTAGTTCCTTTCCACTATAGGTCATAAGTCTCCAAAGGTCGAGCAGCGATGGAATGATTGAATTCAACACTGTTCATTTAAAAAATACAAACAAACAACAACATGTAAGCCGAACTACAGTGCTCTGATTCCTTAAAAGGGATACGTAGGCATCTGGTCACGGGGCTCAGCCGAGCGAAAATTTGTAAATATTTCCTTCTTTTCCCCGTGTTTTTTTGCATGCATTCCCTCTTAGTTTATAACTCTTAAGCATTAGATTGAACACACTCTTTGGTTATAATAACAAGAGTGGATCCCGTAAAGTACTACAGACGTGTGGGGTGATAATACCTTCCCCTCGTGTAATCGACTCCCTTACTCAATCTCTCGGTCACAAGACCTTGATTTCCTCTTTAGGTTTTTCTTCGATGATTTTCCTTTCCCTTTTGTGGGATAAATAAATACTCAGTGGTAACTTCATTGATTTTACCGCTACACTTTCCCACTATTAGTGAGTAGATAGCCCTATCGTTGGATGTATGAGGGACATTCGAAGGGACATTACTGTCATGAAGGCAACTTGTTGAGACGCTTTAGCAATTTTATTTAGGGACTAGATCATTTACCGAGATGGCAATTGTAGGGTCATCGAGGGACTATAATCTTTTGATTTATGGGTCTTTGCTAAAGTGTTCCTGCCTCATGACTGTTTTTATTTCTAAAGGCAGCTAAAGTGGGGTACCCTAGAGGTGTATATGTACGAGTGTATTATGTTCATTTATTTTTTTGTCCTTTTGTTAAGTTTGCTAGCGTTTGATTATTAGTCTTATCATACACACCTACTAGCAGTTAATATATATTGCAGAATATTAAAGTGCAGGAATTTAAATCTACGCTATTACAATGCTTTGGGGAGGGGATTTACACTGTACAAGAATGAGGGGGATAAAGCAGTAAATGTCCTAGTTTTAATCTATTACATCTAGTAGGCAGATACAATAATAATAAAAATGCGAAATTAAATAAACGCGCGTGAAATTGAAAATAACATCTAAAAATATCCTAAGAAATAAAAATATTTTTGTTTTGTTTTTTTATGTATAAAAGAAAAACTTTTTAATTTTAATTTTAAGAAAGATGTTAAAATAACTAACTTATTTATTTACAAAATTCATTTAATTATAAAAAGACACTAGCCTAATGTTTTTTTTGGTGATTTTGATTTAAAGTTAATTTAAATAAAAAGGATCAATAAAGAAATAATAAAAAGAACAAAAATAAAATATGAAGGAGTGAGGGGATCCTTCGATCCAGGGAGAATCATGGTTTCAATTTAGAGGAAAAAAAGTTGCCTTCGATACAGAGGAAGGTGGATTTTGACCTAGAGGAAAAAAGGGTAGCCTTTGATCCAAGGAAGAATGTTTGTCCTTCGACCCAGAGAGAGATAATTGTCTTTCGATCCAGGGGTGGATGTTGTGAGGGCACTGAATATGCAAAGGTATGTTAGTCAAAACGAAAAGTATGACCTGGGTGTCAAGCCCAGGTCCTTCGATTATGTACGCACTGGCCTTATTTATGTTGGATCTGCAATAAGCGTTAGAAGCAAAACAAAGGCAGACTGGGGTTGAACCCAGGTCTTTAGTCTTGAACAACAAATCGAATGAAACTACAAATATTGATGTGTCATGCAAATGTAGAGATTGATCTTTTTACCAATTCTTACCAATAGTTGATGGATGAATATGTGATGATGGATGTGGGTACCCTTTTTTGATGATTGCTTAGATTTGGCTTCTATATGTGGGTACCTTTATTTAAGGGTTGCTTTGATTTGGATCACTTATGAGATTTTTTGATAACTTTGGTGGGTTTATGGGGCTGCGCATCTCCAATGTGTGTGTAACCATCCATTGGCTTGCAAGCACTCTGCTTATATAGAGTAGAAGGGAAGGGACAAGAAGACAATAGTTTAAACTGCCACAAACAAACATTTTCAAA